TATGTTAAGTTAATACAATTACTAGTGTAGTTACCGTCCTACACACACACACACACACACACACACACACACACACTACACACACACACACACACACACACACACACACACGCGCGCACGCACGCACACACACACACACCTGCTTCTCTTCCAGCGTTTCCAGCAGAAGTACGTAGTTCTCCCACAGCCTGGAATACGCCGTCGCGCACTTCGCCGACCATCGGAACAACGCGCTCTCCGTTTTCCCGAGCTTTCTCGACTCGACGCTGCTCAGCGTGCGTTGCAGGAGGTATCCCGCCCGCTTGCGCGTGAGCGGGTCGTCGTCGATCAACCCGTTCTGCACGATCGCCCAGAATCGATCGTCTCCCACCATGTCCAATCCACTCCCGGCAGATGACTCTGCGCTGATCGTCAAGGGATTCTCGCCCGGGCCGTCGTTTGGGAGGCTTCCCATTTCGCAGGAAGAAAAGAAGGATTTTTCCGGTAGAAAGAAGTCGACGAGGGCGCACAGAACAAGACACTGCGCCGCCGCCGCGGTTGTTCGCTCGTCGTGATGCGCTCTGCCGACGTCCAGTACGCCGTCCCAAATTCTACGGAGATACGAGGCGAATTCGTCTCCTTCGCTGGCGCGCAAGATGTTCGGGATTGCGTCCGTGAGAATCTTAGACGTTACGACGTCAGACGGACTTGTCACAGTAATGGAACGTAGAAGAACGTCGATGAGACAGCTGCCAAGATCTTTGACCAGTCCGCGCGAATCGGGAAGAGTGGAGACGACGTTGATCGCCGTGACGATAGGTAAACGGTTGTCGCCGGCACCGTCGCCTTTCGCGGCATCTCCGTCCGCGATTCTGGATTCGAAATACCGCTTCATCGAGTCTTTACACAACGACACTACGTCTCGGCGCAAGTCGCTGCTGAATGAATCCGGCACGATGTCGACGGTTGCAAAGTGTGTGTTCGCTTCGAGAGCGCAGGCGATCACGCTGCAAGCCAGATGTAAGAGCGACGTCGGGGATGCAGAATGCGTCGACCGAACAGAGTTCCAACATAGACACGGCACGCAGAGTTTGAATACAATCTCGCGTGAAGTGTCTACGATGGTCGCTCTGTCATTAGGAAGAACCGCCTGAGCTTTAGATTGATCTAGTTGGGATGAGTTCTGTAAAACCGTGTTCACGGTGTTGTTGACAATGTTGTCACTGCCCAACTTTAGTTGCGTTAATACGACCTGTATTGCACTCAATATGTGTTCGATTTCGTTGCAATCGTGCACATCTACCCGCTTCTTGCCCCTCTCCAGTAAACGTCGAAGTAATCGTGATAGACTACTAACGTCCGTATCTTGTAAGTGTTCCAGTGAATTCATTAGGAAGTTCTCATGTGTATCAACGGACGCAGCCATTATTAATTCGCCACTTATTAGATTGTCACTGGTATGTTATTCATTTATAGGATTTGTCATACAGTGTACTATTGGTGTCTGTCTAAACTAGGCTTTTCCGATCACTAGTAAAAACCGGCAACGAAAGAGATATTAGAAGAGAGCATCTAAGAAGAGAGTAAAGGGACGTAGAGATGCATTAAACGTAGTAGACGTAAAAAAACAAATACAAAATAAAATAAATATATATGTTGACGCCATGCACAGCACTCTACGCAAGTAGTAAGATATTTTTAGATACTCCGAAGTCCGAAACAGGAATTAATTAAACCAATACAAAATATAATTATACCAGGCAAACACACTAAAATACAAGTAAATATCAGGACTTATTATTATTATTATCTTTTGTTACTACATAGCACTATAGTTGATTAAACAGTAAGTTTAACAAAAAAAAGATCTACCTGATGAAGTTCGATCCATAATTTTCGGCGCGCAATTTGAAACGTCACTGATTAACAGCAGACGATTTTAAGCAGACGACACGGAACACCGCCGGACTAGTAAGTTATTAAACTTGTTTATTAATTAATTACTCAATCATTATCATATGTATGTGCAATAGTAACAGTCAAAATATTGCCCTGTGTATAGGCGAATGTTTTTAGTTATACCTGCGTAGCACCTTTGATTTCACGACGGGTACCTGTTTTCGCTACCTGTGGCGAAAGCCAGGGGGCTACATTAGTTACTTAAGTTAGGGGCTAAGGTAGGCCTAAAGCCAATTCGAGCTTATGTTACATTGTGATCAGAAAAGGTAGACCGAGTTTTCTCCGATAAATAAGTGCCCACGGCGATATTTTTGTGTAGATTTGGTATTTATTAAACTGTTTTGTCATCTCATGTTCGAATGATCTTCCTTCCGCCTTGGTTAATGGAAAAATTAAAGCTTTTCGACTACAATCCGCAGTGTTGAGCTGTCCATTTGACCAACGTTGTCTCTCTCCGTCTTTTGGACTTTGATTTGAAGTCTAATCAATCATTATATGAAGTTATTTATTTTATTTTTATTTGTTTATTTATTTAGGTAATTATCCATATATACACACCTACTATTACAATATAGGTTAAATTCATAAAATTAGATAGCTACCAAAGATATATACACAAAAAGTATGACTAGCACATTTATTTACATCGTGGTCCTTATGAGATATATGGTGTGATTTTACAAAATCGAATAAATACGAAAATAAAAGTAAATAAGCTTATCAGCTGCTATTTTTAATTTAGCTGTTTCACAAATAAATGTCATAAGTAGTGAATAAAACAAACTATAAAAAAGAAAATGAAATTCAAACTATTGCCTAACATTCACCATATCCTGTGCTTTTAATTAAATTAATTAAAAATTGCTCCAGTCGCACCAGCGCGACTGTAGAGTGCAGCATGATGAAACTCTGTATCGCAGCACGTACTGTTAGGTAATTAAACGCACTGTTTCTAATTTTCGTCCACAAAGACATTGTGCTACATGGCACTGCATTGTATCACATTGTACACAAATAGCACACATTGTACTACACATGTAATATATTGTACATGAAGACATTGTACAGAGACATTTTACTACAAGGTCGTTGTAGACAAATTGCGCGACGCGAGCCCAGAAAGACAAGTTTTGCAAATCCGTTGAAGTAAAGTGGGCACATTCAAAACACGTAAATACTGGTGGGAGCGATGCGTTATCTATATACTACTACAAAAACCGCCTGTCTGTCTGTCTGTCTGTCTGTCTGTCTGTCTGTCTGTCTGTCTGTTTGTCTGTCTGTCTGTCTATCTGTCTGTCTGTCTATCTGTCTGTCTGTCTATCTGTCTGCTAGTGAGTCAGCTAGTCAGTTTGATTTTCGATTTTTCGACATTCACTCTGTATGCTGGTAGTCATTCGATTCATCGCTTAACCTATTTTCGGTTGCTCCTCAGTACATACAACCAACATAGATACCATTTTATGTACACTTAATTACTGGTTGCTACATGTGCAGCTTTATTTTGCGCGCACGCACGCGCACACACGCACATGCACACACGCACACACGAACATGCTCACACATGCACGAATGAACGCAAAACGTAGGCTACATGCATACATGCGTGGTCACATGTTGCCAGTCATACA